CTTCCGATTGGGCCCTTAATTGCCGACTTTTTCATATTCAGCATGAAAGTTTAGCAGGTCTTGAGCTATGCACCTGCAGCCTTATCTACCCTGTTTTCAGGGGAAATTGGCTTCACTATTTATTTATTTATTTATTTATTAGGAAAGCACATAGGGAAAATGTAACCCAAGCACGGTTTACATACATGATAGTCAGTTTGCTTTGACGTGGAGCCTGTATAGGTACAGTCTGGTGCTTGTACATTCCTGGCTACCAAGTTGCCTTCTCTGGATCAGCACTCTTAATTTACATTCAAGATTATTACTATATTGGGGGGCATCTCAAAAAAGGGGTAAAATTATTAAATGTTATTTCCTCAAAGGATGAGCATTCAGGCAGCAAGCAGTTTGCATTGTTTCAGCAATGAGAATGTGTGGTTATTCACTGATCTTCTGCAAATCACACTTTTCTTTTAAGCAACCACCCTGGTAAGGAGTGAATTCACTAGGGAACCTGTAAGAATCAGTGCACTGTTTATAAAGTGGATGCAATATTATGTTTGAACATTTTGTGGGTCCTTTATTTATGCTGAATGTTCCTCCCCCTCCACAATCTTCTCCCTTTTTTATTAGATAAAGTCATAAATAACTATGACTTTCTAGTGAAGAGCTTTGTAATTTTGGAAAGTGTGTTTTTCCATCCAAAATAATATTCATGTGTGTGTATTTAAGGAAGACAGTAAAATTAAATTTTGCCGTAATAAACTGCTATGGTAATGACTTTTGTAAATACTTCCACTCCACCCTCTCCCTGCTCCCCTTCCTTTCCCGTCTTTTCTTGTTCACCTCCCAAAAGTGTGTTTATTTCATTAGAAGTGTCTGTTTTGTTCCTTGGGATACATAAGATGTTACTTGAAATCAAGGGCTAGGAACACAAGCACAGAATGCTGTTAAAACCAACGGTGAAGAAAGGCGGCTAGGGCCAAATGCAGAATCCGAGACCAGCCCACCTAAGCCCCGTGTCCATTTCTTCCCCGCCCATCCTTCTCATCTGCCCTGCCTTGCATTTTTTGGGAGTCAGAGGAGCTCTTATCCCTTAGCTTCTTCTGTGCCTTTGTGTGCCTTCCATTTCCTCCTCCTCATCTCTCCACCTTTCTTTTGGGTATATGTGCAACAACTTGCTTGTCTGTGTTTTCCTGTAGCAGCTAGAGTCACTGTTTTGGCAACACTCTAGTTTCAACTTTAGGTCGCATATGCATGTTTTGTTGTTATTTCTGTATGTTGCCATTTTTCCCCTGAAGAACACAATTAAAGAAGTGAGTTTCAGTTTACTGTAGTTTATAACTCACCAGTAACTGAAAGTGACCTCACAGAAAAAGGACACTTCTCTCTATCCTGTTTTCATTTTTGTGTTTGGTTTCAAAGAACTACTCCAAATAGTGGTGGTGTTAGAGTTTCTTCACAGAAAACATTAAAGGATTCTTGAATAATACAGTATGCAGAAGCTGCTACTACTGCTTCTGTGAAGTTACAGTGAAGAGTTATGACGCTTGTCTGGTTTTGTGTATTTTTAGGCAATGTTGATTCCAAATGAGCTAGAAAGCAGACATCAACAAAAACAGAGAAAGCATAGTTTATACAGGCACTGTGCTTATTTGGAGGACTCTTGGGAGAATTTACTGTTCTTACACTGTTGAGGCATCTGTGAGAAAATGGAAGGATAATTTTGAGCACATTGAACACCTCATCCAGACTTCAGCATAGTCCTGTGCAATTGTTTGCATATGCATTTAAATTTCAGAATTTTGAATTCCTAGCAAGCTATTACTAGCAAGCATAAAACAAATACGTCAGATATAATTTCAGTGGTCAAATCTATAAAAATAAATTTGCCATCATTCCCCTAATTTTCTTCTGAACAGATCTTGTTTGAAATAATTAAGATCATGTTTTTCTGAAATAATGTTACTTCATGTTAATAACAAAATGTTTTGTATGTGTGTTTTCCTATTTCTTCTGTAAATGATCTCTGGAGGAAACTTAGCTAAGCTCCAGTTATGCTTTAACAGCTTAATATTAAATTGCTGATGCAAAACACGATTCTGTGTGTCTTCGGTTTTCTAAGGTAAATTTCTTTTCTGTTTGTGAAGTCCTGCGCAGCAAATGAAACCATTTCAAGTTTTAATGCAAGTGTTTCATACTGTCTCGTTCTAGGTTGTTGGAAGAGGAGCCTTTGGTGTGGTCTGCAAGGCAAAATGGCGAGCGAAAGATGTAGCCATTAAACAAATAGAAAGTGAATCTGAAAGAAAAGCCTTCATTGTAGAGGTACAGTAAGTTTGCTGGGAAACATGGGTGGGGTTTGGTAGAGCTTTTCTTAAACTCACGGGTGTATTTAGTGTACTAAAAGCTATGTCTGTATTACAAGGTAAATGCAGCCTGGGGTACCCAGTACAGGCCCGAACCCCTTGTCCTGCAGAACAGGACACCTGTCAGAGCACATTGCAGCTTCTTTAGTTGGCTTCCCATAAAAACTGGAAGGCAAGGGGGGAGAGAGGAGGGCACACAGGTTGGGGAAACACCAGTTCCTGGATTCTGTCCCAGTGTAGAGTCAGGGTACAGCTGAAATACCCACCAAAATCGTGGGGCTGATTAATACTTCCAGGGGCTACAGCATAGGTTCTTCATACAATCAGGTCCATACTTGAAACTGTTTCTTAGTTTTTTCAGCAGTTCTAATAATTTTGTTATTTTTTTTCTTACATGTAAGGTTTTTAATACATGTAACTCATTTAAGGGCAATCGCTCTTTCTATTCAATGTCTACTTCTTCAGAAAGATCTGGAGTAGTTAGATATACCGATAAACTTCCCAAGGTACATAACATTTTCTAGAATCAAAAGTTAGCCATGTAATTTAAATGAGATATATTGTGACATGCTGCTTAGTATTTAGTCAGTAAGAATCTAGGATGTTCAAGATACACAAAATATGTTAAAAATAAATCTCTTAATTTTGGAACTACAAATGTAACACACCAAAGGGTTAAAGGAAGCATATTTGTAATAAGCCTCTCTGTGTAAATATTTATATGTTGTTCATTACCATGGAAAGTTTTTAATGGTATTAATCTGAGTCTGATTTCATCCTGAGTAGATCTGATCAGTCTCTTAGCATTTTTGTGTTCAAAAGAGATCTGAGAAAATAAGCCCAGAAATACTTCAGTAATTACTGGGATTCAGGAAACCCTACACAGTGCAAGCATCAGTTGTGATACTGCATTCTGGTTTTTTAGAACTTCTGAAGTGTACAGGAAAAAATAACATTAGCTCCCTAGACGATGAACAGCATTAGCTGCCCCAGAAGTCTGTGTAAAGGGAGAAAAATTCCTTTTTCCTTCTCTTCTACTACCTACTGGTAAGGAAAAATTCAGTGAAAAATAGTCTGATCATCAATTAGTGAAAGCAGCAGTAGGTTCTTGGAACTATGTCACATTAATATTAAACTGGCTGGCTTATTTTATAGGGTTGTGTGTTTTGTTTTTTTAAGAACAGTCATTTTCTGTATTGTGAATAAAGCCACTATGTTTCAGATTGTTTATGAAGTCAATCAGGATTCCAAAGCTGGAGGCCCCAGGAACAGCACTGAACCTATAGAGGTCATAGTTGCACAGTGTTTATGACTTGAGTGATTTTACTACATCATAAAAAAATACTTTCTTTAATTTCTTTAAAATTTCTTTTAAATACACTTCCAGTTAGACATAAACCTAATTGCATAAATTAAAATGCAAACAGGGATATCAGTCTTGTAATTCCTAAAATCACCATCTGGGGTTATGCAGATATCTAAAACTGCAATTGCCATTGTGGTGTATGAATTATAGATGTGAAAATAAAGCATTAGCCTCTTTTTCCTGTGGTTTGAAATGAAATGTGATTTGTATTGCAGCTTCGACAACTGTCACGAGTAAACCATCCCAATATTGTCAAGTTATATGGAGCCTGTCTAAACCCAGTAAGTTACAGCTTTGTCAGTATGACAAAAGGTGACTAGCTTAACATATGCAAGCATCAATGCACAAAATGTGTATTTTATATACAAAAATGTATATTTTATATATATTTTGTATGTTTTAGCCATAATAAGGAAATATACAGATATGTAGGTTGGTTGATATTTTCAGGTTTTTGTTTTTTCTTTCCCCTACTATGAGAAATAAATTCTTTCAAGAAAACTCCAAATGCTGTTTCTAAACACAGATTATACTTCAGTTTGTCAGAATGGCATCTGGTGTATTACATATGTAGCATCATTCATATCTACAGTCCTATTAATTGCAAATCAGCAATACGAAAAAGAAAATAAATTAGCAACACATGATTTATAGCTTGTAAATCAGTATCTGTTCTCATATATGCAGTTTCCAGGATTTGCTTGCTTTCTGCCACAGCTACAAACAGCCCCACAAATTCTTAAAGTGGAAAAGCAAGTACTGTGACAGGACAGATATATCCTTAGCGAATTCTAGTATGGGCTATTTAATTGGTTAAAGTAAGGCTGCATCTATTTTTCCTTAGTACTAGTCAAATTATTTTGACATGGTATTTAAAATTTTTTGTAAGCCACTAAAAAAATAGTAAAGGCAAATGACTTGCAGTTTGAAGACAGCATTTGCGTTTCAAGACTGGGGTGGGAGCTCATTCTCTTCTTTCCTAACTTAGAGTGGGAACTAAGTATAAAACTGATTTCTGTTTCTTATACGTAAATATGTACCATTCAAATTGACTCTACCTCACAGATAAATTTTCCATTAGCTTAGGCATGGAGACTTTGCAGTTCCTCTCAAAGAACTTTCCTTTCAGTTTACAAAAGCTGTTTTCCGCCCCTACATTTAAAACATCCTTATTTTTTGTCCCCCCCCCCCCCCCCAAAGGTGTGTCTTGTTATGGAGTATGCTGAAGGAGGTTCTCTGTACAATGGTGAGTATCATTTCAACATAGTATCTTGGAGCTGAAGTGCTAGTGTTAGGGCAAACATGATCGAAAATATAATGTAGTTGCATACATATCCTTGGAGATACTCAGAAGCCACCTGGACACAATCCTGGGCAACTGGCTCTAGGTGGCCTGATTGACCCTGCTTGGTGGACCTTCACAGGTCCTTTCCAACCCCAACCATTCTGTGGTTCTTTGAAATTCATAAAATAATTTTAAGGAGAAAGGAGTGTGCTTTTAAAAACCACTTTTCAGTCCACTGGTTTGTTTCTTGATATCAGTTTGTTATATTTTATACAAGTAATTTAATGTTTTCCAGTGGAACATTGAAAAGATTCTTCCTTAACTTGTAAATTCCTTGAGCATTTGTTTAACACAGACTTTACCAGGGATAGCTGAGAACAAGGAACACCTTTCATATTGAATTTTAATATAAAAAATTGTGAAAAACATAATAAAAAAATGGAAAATATTTTGACATTTCCATTGTTTTAACAGTCTGCAGAAGGATATTTTCAGTTGCAGTGATGAGGCATTGACAATTACTTAGATTCCATAGAGCTTTCTGACTGGTATGTTGTTAACTCTGTTGTATCTGTTGTAATATGCAATAAAGTTCTTTTTAGTTTGTGCCTTTGTTTTGCAGTGCTGCATGGTGCTGAACCTCTGCCTCATTATACTGCTGCACATGCCATGAGTTGGTGTTTACAGTGTTCCCAAGGAGTGGCATATCTCCACAGTATGAAACCAAAGGCTCTAATCCACAGAGACCTGAAACCACCAAAGTAGGTTTATGGCTTATATTTCGTATTTTCTTATAATTTGAATTTAAGATCTTTTTGTAATAATTTCATTGCATTTGAAAGAAATACCTTTAATTGATGCTAACTTTATTGGATGTACTGTATTCTAAATGAAAGCTGTGCATTTGAAACTACAGTTACAGAATGATGGTGCATGGTACAGGAAATGAGCTGTACTTAGTTACTTTCCGTTAAGCAGGAAAAACATCCTGCTCCTGCCCTGGATCGTGGAAGAGGATTTTGATAGGGATAGGGCTTCTAATCAGAGGCATTTAAAATGGCCCAGTTTTACAATGGGTTGTGGTGTTCAGTAAGAGAATGTTAGGTGGCGGGGTTGTTTGGCTGCTTGGTTTTAACATTGTATTTCATCTGATATATTGCAGCTCTTTCCCCACATGGCCATCCTCCTCTATCCACTCCTTCTGCCCGTTCCACTACCCCTGCCAGAATCTCCCATCACTTTCCACGGAAACAAAAATGAATAGTTTTCTTCCCAGTCAGTTTGTTGATCTGACTCATTTTACAGCTTCAGATCTGGCTCCACAGATTAGGTGGAAACAGAGATTTGGGGATCAGCAGCATCACCCCCTTCTGGTGGTAGCCTGCAATTATTACCAGATAAAGTCATAACGTGAAGCCACATTTTAAATCTTGAATTCTTTCTTGTATCCCCAGTTTTGATTTAGAGAGTTGTTAACATGTAACTTCGAGTGCTTTCATTTAAATAAATAGCTATATTGAACGATAAAGACTCCCATTAATATCAGTCGTCTTTTGGTAAAATTGTTACAGCACTTGTTGGTTTTCAGCCTCTAGCATCTTGAGAGACTAATTTTGTCAATATATGCTTAGTGGTTCACTATGGCTAAATATATTTATTTAAAATCTAGCATGTAGAAATATAAATAAATTACAATATATATTTGATTATTTTAAAATATTTCATATGTTCAGATAGGCACAAGTGACCTTACTTATTTGTCAAATTATAAAACTAAAGGATTGAGAAGCAAAGCCTTAGATATTCAACTATATTAGAATGATAGTTGTTGGGATAAAAAAAATCAGTGGTTTATTACCAGACTATTTCATCCTACAATTTTAATTTGTTTTTTTGTTCTTTGACAGTTTGCTCTTGGTAGCTGGGGGGACAGTTCTAAAAATCTGTGATTTTGGTACAGCCTGTGATATTCAAACACATATGACCAACAATAAGGGAAGTGCTGCTTGGATGGCACCTGAAGTTTTTGAAGGTAACAATAATTTACAGTGTCAATATTATGTGTTCTTTCTAGGGATGCAACTGTGAATGAATTTGGTATAGGAAAAAGAGCGTCATGTAATCTTATTTTATTTCAGTCAGTGTACTGAAGTTTGAGGTAACAGCTGAAAGAGGCTTGGCAGAAGTCTAACGTTTATTTAAAAATCTGTATGATTGTGTATTGCCAAATAATTACGCAAAGTTTCAAAGAGCAGCACTGAATTGACTCGATCATGTTAGTATTACATGAAGATGTGGAACTTACTTGTCATTGCTGAGATTTACATAAGAAGTACCTTTAGAAAGCTGCTGTTTCTTATTTTATAAGCAAGTAAAACACAGCCAGAGGACCATTTCCCCAGGATTGCGCTGTTTCTGAGACTCTTAACACATTTCAAACTCTTCTGACATTTAAATACACTGTCAGTACTTTCATTCCCTATTCTGATCAGCTTTTATCTTTAGAATTTCCCTGTTAGTGCCTCTAAATTGAACATAATTGCCTTCATTTTCAGTCCCCCACTTTCTTGTAATTCCATCTTCATCTGCTTTTTGTGTAATCTAGAGATTTGTTGTAATTCCTCTTTCTTACATACCAAGAAACTTGTTATTAACAATTCATTTAGTTAAGTAGGAGAACAGGCTGTTTCTTGGAGTGTAGCTGGGGAAGACTGATGACACTTGATAGGTATAAATGCTACATGATTATCAGAGAAATAATCCAGTCAATATTAGATTGCAAATTAAACACCTTTTAGGCAGTCAGTACCTTAAATTATCATTGCAATTAGCAGAATGGTCTGGAGAAGTCATCTTCCTGCTTTAGGAAGCAAGTGTCCTGGTTTTGATATATTTGGCAAGTGCCTATGTGCAGCAGTGGTTTGGCAGATTCTGGATCCAAGTGGCCTCTTTTCTTATTCCAGAGAGAAGCAGCAAGTTATATATGTCCATATATGCTTTTAGGAGGTGTTTCCTCCCAAACACCACCTTTGCAGCTTTTGTTTTTAAGGTACCTATTTCTCCCGCATATTGCTTAGAGGACCCAACCAAGGGTGATCTGTTTCATTCTGGTGCCTAAAAATTTTCCATTATGTCACTTTATACTGACGCACCTACTCTATTTCTTTAACTAGGAATTTCTTTAGCTAGGAATGCTTCTTTTCTTAACATTTGTTTACTATTACATGAAATTGTATAAATAATTTTGTATAGATAATTTTTTCTTTTATAAATAATCAGTTGGACAATCCATGTTTAAAGTAGATATTCTTGAGTGAAAAATCTTAATCTAAACCAAATTTTGAAATAAGTATATTGTAGTAGGGATTTACAGTGCATATCCTAATTCCTCTGGTGTATGAATTCAGCGAGGCAGAACAAAGAAATCTTGTATTGCAGATTTATTTTTGGACAGCAGCAAAAGCCTTCAGTTTATAGTTGGTTTTATGTTGGTTTTTATCTGAAAGCACCTACTGATGATGACATAAATCTTTATACAAGTACCAAGGAAAGAAAGGAATCTAGTAGCTTCAATGATGCAGCATGTCAAAAGTTACTCTTGAAACAGTCGTTAAACTACTAAAATTACCATGTCAAATCTCAAAATTGTTAAAAATTTGTTTGCTTATGCTACTGCATCAGAATTCAACAATAGAATAAATGCTAATATTATTTTAGTACTGTTCTCTAGTACTAATGTTTTCAGATGAGAACAATAAAGGCACAAGAAGTATCTGTTGTAGATGGCAGAGTGCTCATTGAAGTAATTGCCCTAATATTAAGATTTTCCCCCCATTTCAAATATTAGGGCACCTAAAGCCTTGTACAGATCAAACAATCTAAATGAAAACAATATCACTTAGATGAGGATAAAGTGAAAGAGAGCAAGTGCTCTAATCTCAGAACTCCCTTTAGAAGAAAATACTTCAAAATTGCTTTGGGATAATTGGTAAATTGAGGAGTGATTGTGTCCATCTATTACCCTACCTTGGTCTGTTACATAATGAAACAATACAGAATACTCTCTCACTTCTTTTGGACTCTGTCTTCAGAATTAGTCCAAGACTTCTCAGCCACAAAATAGAATTTCCTCACTCAAACAGGAGATTAACACTACTTCCCTGTCACAGGCTGTGTTTCACAGAAGTGCTGTGGCTGAATAGACAAGAGGGACTGTTTTGTTTCCTTTAGCAATCTGCCATTGTCAACAGATATCTTTTTTCCCAGCACCTTTGAAAAAAAAGCTGACTGATAAAGCTGACCTTGCTATTCCCCCTTCAGCAACTTTTGAACTTGTTAGCCACATTCAGCTGCTTTGATACAGGTGTAAAGACTTTAGGAGATGCCACTTTCTTAAAGAGTTTTGTAAAATCGGTAGCTGGGAGAAGTCCAAATTAGTGCCTTCACTTCGAGAGGACTCGTGGTTCATGCTGCAGCCTGTCTCTCCTGTCTGCTTTGCAAACTGGCTGGTCTGCAAGAACAGGCCTGAGAACATGCTGCTGTCCTTGCACAGTTTGTCAGAGGTACGGGGGCAGAGGAAGATGGCTCACAGGTAGAGTGGAGCCCGTTGCGATTGCATGCTATATGATGGGTATCCACGTGAAACTAGGCTTCTTTAATTCCACTCTTTATGAAATGATTTGTCTCGATGCTTTCTTATTACATACTAACAAAAAGATCTCTTGGCCCCTCAATGCCAGTTTTGATCCTTGTTTTGAAGGCGGTTGAGCAAATCTCCATCATTTTATTCACTCATTTGTTATCATGTCATTAGCCATTCACATTTCTTTTTAGTATTTGCATGAGTTGTGGTTACAGAGCATACATTCTTTCTTTGCAGTCTCTGAACATTTTTATTCATTATTCTCTATCACCTACATGTCTTCTGCACTTCTAAACAGGAGTCTTAGAAATACTGAACTTAAGGTCAAAGAACTTAAGTCATGACATGACAAAAAGAGTAAGAATAATAAACAGGGAGGAAATAAGATGATGAGGAATTGAGGCATTGAGGAATCTGCTGATTTCAGCCTGGAGAAGAGAAGGCTGCGGGGAGACCTTATTGCAGCCTTTCAGTACCTAAAGGGGGCCTATAGAAAGGATGGGAACAATCTTTTTAGCAAGGCCTGTTGTGACAGGACAAGGAATAATGGATTTAAACTAAAGAAGAATAGATTTAGACTGGATATAAGGAAGAAATTTTTTACAATGAGGATGGTGAAGCACTGGAACAGGTTGCCTGGACAGGTAGGGAGGCCCCATCCCTAGAAACATTCAAGGTCAGGTTGGATGGGGCTCTGAGCAACCTGATCTGGTTAAAGCTGTCTCTGCTCACTGCAGGGGGGGTGGGCTAAATGATCTCTAAAGGTCCCTTCCAACCCAAAGCATTCTATGATTCTATGATTTGTTCATATGGTAACTTTCTAATTCTGCTAAAGACCTGTAGTTAATATATTAAGAGCAGTGGATATGACAGATGTTATTGGCTGGCATATTGTGACTGACATGGAAGAAGTGAGTTGAAGAAGAATATTTAGAGGAAGCAAGCATAGTCAGTTAAATCCTGAATGCAAGAGATCTTTGAAACTTAATAAATTGTGTTTTATATTATATAAGAAAACTGACACATTTTATCATTTCAGGATGACTCCAACTGAAAAGGATTGATTTCCAGAGAGAGGCATTCTTAACGATCCTACTGTCAAATGATTTCAGACTTAAGTTAGTGTGAATCAGACAGCTTTAGAAAACTGCTTTTTCTCAGCAAAACAAATGTGAAGTGAAAGGAAGCATATAGAGCTGTTTATCAGCTCAAACTGTACTTCTTTTTAATGTGTTATATAGAAGAGAGACAAATTATATTGATGGCTTTCTTCCAGGTAGTAACTACAGTGAAAAATGTGATGTTTTCAGTTGGGGTATTATTCTCTGGGAGGTAATCACCCGTAGGAAACCTTTTGATGAGATTGGTGGTCCAGCTTTCCGCATAATGTGGGCAGTTCACAACGGTGAGTTGAAAATACTGTAGTGCATTTGAAGTTGTGTATTTGACCTATAAATTTGCTAAACACTCTTAATCGTGCAGCTTTGTTACTTTGTTTTTCATCTTTTGTTTTGTTTTGTTTTGTTTGTTCTGCTGTTTGAATTGTTTTACCTTTATATCTAGGTACCTGCAGTTACGGAGCAGGACTCTACTGTGCTAGGTGCTACACAGAACAGATTCTCAGGAGCTTAGAATATAAACAGGAGACAATGGTTGGATTCAAATGGGCAAAAGAAAGCAGTGGTACAACATTGGTCAGAATAATAGACTGTAGTATCTTCATGCTAGTGGTGTAACTTTAACAGTGTGTTTTTAGGTACCCTGGCAAAGCAGAATTTTAAGAACAACAAAGTAATGATAGTGAAGTAGTTCAGTGAATGTCTGCAAAGAGCTTCTGCCATTTGTGAAAGGCAACATCAAAGAAAGCACGAACTTGTTTGGGAGATGTAATTAACAAGCAATGAAGGCCAGTGCTCTGCCTGAGTGTCATTGCTTCAGTACTAAATGATAGAAGCTTAAGGTGAGCACAGGCATCCTATTTGATGAAGAAGAGAAAGGGGCAGACAGTGATAGGATGGATGAGCATTGTAGTCATAATAATGCACAAAGGTGTTTGCAAATGGCATTTTTGAATGAAGAAAGAGATTCTCCATTTCAGTTTTTCAAGGACACGAGTCGTTGAGATTACGAGTGACGAATGCCTTGCATAAAAGCGTTAACTGTAGAAGTAAGTGTAAATGTAATAGTCATAAATCAGAAAGCCTTGGTAAAGTGTGGGAGTATCCTTTAGGGGAAGACAAATTCCCTATCTGTCCTTACTTTTGCTTTAAAAACTTCTCTCTCTTTTTTCTTTTTCTCTCTCTCCTCCACACCCCCCCTCTTCTTTTCCTTCTTAGGAAGGAAGTGTTAGTGCACTTCATCTCACTTGAAACCACTGTGGCACTTTTACTTCATGTATTACTTGTTACAGTTAATACATTTTTAAATACTTGCTGCTTTATATGCAAAATGTCACTACATCTCATGTATTAAACACAACTGGACGTCCACTAATTGTACTCATTGTTGAAACAGTAAAAAGAGTAGAAACTTGAACCAAAAAACAGCTGAATAGTTATACAATAGTTGAAGTAAAATATGTAATTAAAAATGCGTATAGGCCGTGAAAAATTCACACAAAATTGGTACTTCCAGTGCTTAATAATTTTTCAGGAAATTCTTAAGAGCAAAATCAGCCCTCAAAAATACTTTTTTCCCTTTTTTTTTGTCTTTTTTTTTCTTTATTTTAAATTCTCTTGTGAGTACAGCATTAGGAACCAAAGACTGTTACTACTACTTGCTTCCTAGTTTGGTCTAGAGCTTTATTCTTCAGAAAGTGATTATTAGGCATTGTAATATGTTGTATTTGGTCAGTCAGTGAATTTATTCAAACCACTACTGAAGAAAAAGTTCCATTTTCTTTCTACTTGTTTGTACGTAATTGTAACTTGTATGTAGTGCAAAGGAACTTTGTCAGTTTTTTTGTTTGTAAGAGTGAAAATTAAGTACATGCCAGTTCTTTCAGACTACAATTAACTACACCTTTTCCTGTATTTATTTAGCAAAATACCACAGAGAGATCAGTCACTGTCAGTCATCTTATAGTCTGTTTAACAAATTAAGGTTTTTTTTCTCATTTCAATGATAGGTACTCGGCCACCACTGATCAAAAACTTACCTAAACCAATCGAGAGTTTAATGACCCGCTGTTGGTCCAAGGATCCCTCACAACGACCATCCATGGAGGAAATTGTTAAAATAATGACACACTTGATGCGGGTATAAAAATTTATTTTAGTATCTTAATCATTTCTTAACCTGTTAAGCCAGGAAATTGAATTATAAAAGGTATGCCTTTTATCACACTCTAAAGGTGGGCTTGCATGTTTTCTTCTCTCTCTTTTTGATAAAAATTGTCAAATTATTACAGTAAAGAAGGGAAATCATTCCTCTCCTTATGGGAGAGGTATACTAACTCATAACAGATTTGGGGAAATCAATAAAAATAGTCATAGACGTATTTTAACGTATTACTAAAAAGAATTGCATTTATTTCTTGTCTAAATAAAGTATTATAAACATAATATATAATTTATATTTAGA